TGCCACAGCCCTGTTGAATGAGAAAGATCAGTCTGGAAGCAGTAATGGATCAGAGAGTAGTCCAGCCAATGAGAATGGAGACAGGTATCTACAACAGGTAAATAATAATAATAATCCTGTCTCGTGCTAAGAATTCATTATGAATGATGAAAGCAGTGGGCTTCGTGCTGAGAACTCCCAGTACTGCACACTAGTGACTGGATTTTAAACCATGATAAAGACAGAATAAGCCTGACTGCAGTCAGGTAGCTAACATTTCACTGTGTATCTTTGAAAGAACCAGGCGTGTACTACCATCATTATTTTTGTGTTGAAAGGGCTCTGAGTCTCCCATGATGATTGGTGAGCCTAAAAGTGACCTTGATGATGTTGACCCTTAGAGGATACCTTCGAACTGAAATATTTAACACCTGGCACCTTTTTTGAAACTGGAATCCCATCGCTTACCTTCAGAGGAGTCTGGCGAGAGAATGCTTTACAAGAATCAGTGGCCACCCAGAAGGATTTTGTTTCCTTCCAAGTTAAATGCATTCTTCATCTGTGAAGGTTTAGAAACTTTAATGCTGCAAAGAACTCCTGTGGTGGCTAGCGTGATTATCCAGACAGGATAAAAGTTTGTCAAGAAGATTTTATCAAATACAAAAAAGCTAGTGGTTGAAACTTTTATGATGTGAACATTAAATGAGTGAATGTAAAACTGTTGCTTTTTCTGTGATGCTGCAAAAAAGATTCTTTTGGGTTTTATACAGAAAAAAAAATCAGTCTGCCTTTAGGTATGGAGGGCAAATTTTTAATCTTTCTGATAATATTGGATAGGAATATTCAAAATTATGTAAAGATGTGTGATGACTTACATTTACATTGTAAAATATTAGTTTAAGAATCAGTCTACACAAGGACCTTTGTATTTAATATGTCTCCCCACTGATTTGTATAGCGCCTGACACAGTTCACTACCGGGAGGGTTGTAATTCCTTATAGAATGACTTTGGCACAAAAGCTCTGGATTGGTGAGCCTTTTCTGATAACCTTCTAATATCAAATTGGGAAAAGCAATAAAAAAGCTGTTTTCTCTAGTAACACAGGTGTGTATGAAATGACGTAGGTGGGTTTAAAAAAATTTAACGTTTCAAAAGAAAAAAGCACTTTAAGATTGAATTGTTGCAGTTTGACTCCATTAAATCATCTTTTTTAAGATTTGGAGACATATTGAATAAACTGTAGTCTTAATCATGTGATCTGCAATCATTTACTTATGCTTTGAAGTTACTGAGAAAGTTGGTATTGGTTGTATATGATGATTAATTCCTTGAGTGAGTTGGGGACATTGTTGTGTGGATTTTATAATAATTTTAATGCAGGGAAAGAATGAGTTGGCTTTGTATTTTCACTTGACCAGGCAACATTTAAAATACCACAGCTAGGTTTATTTGCTCATAAATAACTGGAAACCAGTTGGACTGTATGAGCAGAACTTTGTTTTCCATGTTGAATGCAATTCAGTAATTTCTAATAGCTTGGGATACTAGCTTCTTTTGTGCCAATTGAGTTTTCATATTTGTACATTTTGCATTTTCAGTTTGTCACATTGTCCGCACTGCTTTTGCCTTTATTTATGGATTCTGCCTTACTTTAAAAAAATGCACAGAAATGGGGGAAATCTTAAGGAGTGCCTGCGTACCTTCAAAATGGATAAATTTGCCAAGTCAAAGGCACAACCAGCCAAAAAGTGCCTTTTTTTTCTTTTTACTTTTATGTACTACTGGCAGATGGCTTTTCACTGTTGTGTACTAATCTTGAAATTAACCAGTCATTTCATTGTTGAAGCAACCATCCCACATGATTTCAGCTGTACAGCTCTATAACTTATTGCAGTTTAGAGAACCCGTGTCAGAAACTGCATGTTCAAAATAAGGATGGCATTGTAGTGGATATTTTTTCAAAACAATGTCATCGAAACATGACAGAGTTAGCATATTTTATAAATGTTTCTGATAACATTCTGGGAAATTTTAAATGTGATGTTTTAAATTAATAAATAATTCATTTCACATTGACACCTCTTTCCCCACCTTCCCTGTTCCTTCCTAACAGATCATAAATCATCTCCGAGTCAATATACAGTGGTGATGTCAGTGTTGTTCCTGGGGCCAGCATCAATTATCACTTCAAATCCCTATTATTTCCTATGGAAACTCTGCCCTCTGTTACTGCAGGCCAAAGTAGCATCACTTGCAAAACTGCATCAAGATGGCTCAGGTCACCACTGTATATTCCAGATCAGTACAAACTTCCTAGTTCTGTTCATGCTTGTATAGAGCCGATGGCTATAATTTTCAGTAAGACAATACTTTGGTTTCCAGCTGCTGTCATTTGAACCTGCTGAAGATTTTTTTTTTTTTTGAAAATATAGTTTGACAAAACTAGCTTTTTGTGTAAATTGTTATGTGTTTCTATGTTGTAATTTTTACTGCCAATCTTTTGGATGAAAATGTTTTTATACATCTTACAATATGTTCAGTAAGGGAGCAGCCATAGCATTCCTGTGTGCTCTTTGGAGTACATTTGTCCAGCTAATGCATAGACATTGGCACTGGAAAAAATAGGCATCCCTGATTGGGGGGGGGGGGAGTTTGGGGAATCCTGGTCAATGGAATAAAGTTATTCCTTTCACAGAAAACTACTGTACTTTATAGATTGTTCATGAAACTATACTTTCATTTTGTTGATCCTCTTACCTGAACACTCTTCATAGCCAATTCTCCTTAATGAGCTATAGCTTATTACCCTGACATACTTTTGACAGCCCCTACAAGTTAACATAATTTAATTTAAAATAGGTGAATTACTTTCAAAGCTATTTTGTTGCACACCTTTATCGCATGGCTTTCTGCATGCACAGTAGGGATGTAAGCAACTAGTCAACTACCCAATAAGCATATGCTTATCGGGTACTTGAGTAGTGATTCGACTAGTCGCTTCCCCCACCCTTTGCTGCCTTTATCAGAGACGGTGGGGGAGGGGGGAAGGTGAGGAGGAGCAGAAGCTGGTGCTG